ATAAAAGCATGCTTAATATTTCATCGATATCGATGAAATCTGAATATCGATACGTTGCCCATCCTTATTCGTGACAGTTACTCTTTTCAAGGTCATGGTTGTCACTGTCATTGGTAATGTTGGTAGCATTGTGTGGTTGGCTAAGCGCCGTTACGAACTCTCAAAAAATTGAATGTACTAAGATCCGCCTCTTATAATTACATGCTCTGTGGAAATAGACAATCTGACAATAGTGACAATCACAGTGACAGACAGTGACCTTATGTATGTTCTGTTCTGTGGACAGTGAGCGCACAGCAGTGTTGCCAACGGTGCTGGCCCTAATGTCGCCGTTTCTCATGCATGAAGTAGAAATAGCCGAATTTCAGTAGCCTGAAGTAGGTAGCCCAAACACCATAATATAAATAAGTACTTATGAATAGAATAAAATGTAGTTCTTAATGAGTGTGAATTTGATGTTGTGTGTCAAAAAAGTATTTATTCAAAAATCACACTTATAGTTTTTATCACTTTATTTTTAATTTAATAAGTTGGATAATACAATGAGATAGTTAACATTCAACATAAAAACTAAATAAACAAAATCAAAATATAATCACTCAGATTTGTCTCCTCCTTGTAATACTACATCAACGAGACTTTCGCCCTCTTCGGTAGTAGTAGTTGACGTGTTAAAATGCTTAACCAAAGTCCTTACTACATGGCTGTCAAAATATTCAATGGATTACATATTACATATTACATATTACATACATTACAAGACCTGCTGTTACATGTATGAACATCACTAATTAGTAAGTAGTCGCCCCCTCACTATAATGTGTTATACTAGAACACTTGTCATCAACGTCGCTGTGTCGCTGTCTACCTGTCATAGTCTAAGTGTGTGTACCCGTCGTGTGCCCTGCACATTATTATAATAAATCCGTCTACAATTCATTAATCCTCCAACATAACACCTGCAAAACGAAACCAAAGCAGTTATATTTAATAGGAAATTTAAAAAGTTCCTAATATTAAAATGCTTTTACTCGATAAGAGAATTCTTCGAAGAAAAATAGAATACCAAAATTAAATGTTAAAACCTAGCCCATACACAACCCCTAACACCCACAACTACACACCAACTAAATACTATACATTTTAAGAATACCTACTTACATTTTACACTAACCCACGAATTTCACTAACATATTATATACTTAAGTACTTACATACCTATGTTCCGAACAAATTAATAAATAATGCTATAAAACATGTTAAGCAAAAGTAATTTATGATAAGCTACTGAACTGTGACAACCCTAAAATTTGCAACGCCTGAAAAAGGCCGTTATGCTGTGCCTGTTATTTCATTTAAGACCTGTATGTATTACCTTAACATGCAAATAAAGACTTTGGGTTTGAGTTTGTTTAAAATTCTGTGGTTTATTCATGGAATATGGTCCGATGGGGTTCGAAGTGGGTGATTCAGTGCAAGTCAATAATAGTTCCAGCTGTCACCGCGTCAAACTCTGTTTTGCCAAGCTACCTACTACTTGTAATATTATTTCTTTTTTATTATAGCGGAAACAAATAGGTAGGTACTTATACGATATTTACCACAACTTCCACTGACACTCCCTCAAAGTAAGAATAGTTGAGATCTACATATACGATAAAGTTATCAGTTATAATCAAATATCAAATAGTGCAAATCACAACGACGCGCCGTACGCTCGGGTCTGTTTCTGGTCGGACGGGGAGCCACCCATGCTCGCCGTCCGCAGGCCCGCGCTGACGGTGGCCGGAGATCGTCCCGCGATCCCCGACACCCGGTGTGTCCTTCGCGATGGCTGGGTTGCGAGGAGGCAGCGCTTCGCTGCCTCACGCGTCCCGCCTCCTCCTTAACTAGCATGACTGCTTCGCAGAAGGAGGAGACGGCATCCCAGTCCCCCTCGCTCCGCATCATGGCCTGCACTAGGCCCGGACGCGAGAGGTCGCCATCGCCGATCACTTCCCTGAGGGCACGGCGGTGCTCATCCCAGGGCAACGCAGGGCATTCCGCTACAGTGTGTTCCACCGTGTCCTCAGGGTGGTCCTCGCAGTGATGACACCCTGGCGTTTCCTTCCGCCCCATCAGACACAGGTACCTCCCGAAACTTCCATGTCCGGTGACGACCTGCGTCAGGCGGTAGGTGAGGACGCCGTAGCGTTTCTCAAGCCACTCCTCAAAGAGGGGACTTACCACTGCAATGGCAGCGAGCCCTGCCCTCGGTTGCGACAGTCGTTGCTGCCATTCCGCCATAAGATCGCGCCGGAGCTCATCCCGCCACTTATTTAATTATACTCTTTGCATATTCTGACCTCTGACAACACTGGGCATAATGTCATGAAAACGTCAGAATTATGTCAAACAATGTCAAACGTCATTGAAACTGAAATGGTAATCGTTCGTACAGTGTAATTAGTGAAATTATTTTGAATTACTTTATTTCATTTGCTAGTATATATATTAAATAAAAATAGTAGATAGTAAATTAATTGGTGCTCAGTGACCTCCAGATCTTTATTTAAATTGATTATCGTTACCATTACTATTAGCAAACCAGCCGTGGCTTGTGACGAGGAGACAGATTATTATTTATTTAATAATTTTAAATAAATAAAAAAATGTTTACGATACATCAAATAAAGTATAAGGAATTCCTTTCGTCTTGAATCCTCTATGTCAAGGTGAAATGTTGCTCCAATTAATTATTCGAATATTTTATGTAAATTATAAACTCCCCTACAAGTGTTATAAATAGTTCTGGAAATTCCTAGTAATAAAATTTTAAATATGAAAAATTTCTATCATACTGAGTCTGTAAATGATATTAGCCATATAAGCATGTAGTGAATTAATTATTTTTACTTTTAGTTAGAATTTATCAAATTTTTTTTATTTCCTATATGATTGTTGGTTGGATGGAAATGGATGGAATATGGCTATGTGTTTACTTAGCTATGTGAGTGGGTTCTCCCCAGATAACATCAGTACAGGTGAAACCTTACTCTTACTACCTAACACTTGTTTAATTTAATGTTGCCTGGACAATTTACTCACTAGTATAGAAGTGTCAAAATGTGTATCAATGTCTGCGTAATCCTTCTAATTCCTGATATGTTACTCTCTGTGCATGCAAGGCCTATTCCGAAGTTATTAAATAATGAATGAAACAAAAAACAGTGTCAAGTTTTACAGCATACAAAAAATACAAAGAACCCAGCATCCTAAGATTTTTATTTTATGTCCTAAGATATAAACAATTAGTTTCATTACCTGCCTGACTTTTAATAATATTGAGTATTGCCTGGATTTTTTTTTTTAAGGGTGGAAAATCATCGAATGACTGCTCCCGCCTGGGTGAGGCGGGAGGGAGTGTCAGACTCTTACTGACTAAAAACCACCCCGTTCCTTCTCCTGCACGTCGAGCCGGAGCCCGGTTACCCGTTAGGTTCTCCGCAACTCCGAATCGGCATCGGCCCTATTGGGCCCCATCTGTGGTGGTCTGATGGCTCTTTGAGGCGCGCGCGGAACGCGACGCGCTGTACGCTCGGGTCTGTTTCTGGTCGGACGGGGAGCCACCCATGCTCGCCGTCCGCAGGCCCGCGCTTACGGTGGCCGGAGATCGTCTCGCGATCCCCGACGCCCGGTGTGTCCTTCGCGATGGCTGGGTTGCGAGTGGCAGCGAAGCGCTGCCTCTCGCAACCTACATAAGATCTGACTGGCCAAATTATTTCGTTATTTCTAAAAGAAATCAAATCAACAATTGACTCACAATGTAGTACCTAACTCTTCCATGAGAGTTGAAGAATATGTGACGTGGCTTCGCAGAGACGGCATCGCGAGCGCTATGAGCGGTAGCAGGTGACGGCGCGGCGGCGCGGGGACGGGCGCGATGGCGCCCTCGGGCCGGTGACGGTAGCAGCCATGGCGGAGGCGGAGGGCGCGGGGCAGCCGGATGCGGTGCTGCTGGCGCCCCTGTCCGAGGACACGTTCCTGCACAACCTGCACGTGCGCTACAAACGAGACATAATATACGTGAGTAGCCGGCGCCCGCCGCCGCGGCGAGGGCCGGCCGCCGCCTGACGCCGCGCGTGTTGCAGACGTACGTGGGCAACGCGCTGGTGTCAGTGAACCCGTGCCGCGCGCTGCCGCTGTACTCGGCGGAGCTGGTGCGCGCGTACCTGGCGCGCCCGCCCTACCAGTTGCCGCCGCACCTGTCAGTATAAGCCTCTATATATAAAGTAGGCTCTCGCCCACTCCGCTACTCAACTTGCTCTCGGTCGCAGGTACGCGATCACGGCCACGGCGTACCGCTGGGTGCGCGACAGGAACGAGAGCCAATGTATAGTGATCACGGGTAAGTCTTTGCAGACTACCTACAGTATAGAATTCTAAAATCGATTTATGAGATGTAATTCGACGTATTACTCTCCTCCTGAGAGGAGATAGTCTATCTAGAGGAGATCTCTAGTCCGGAAGCGGCTAGTTTCCGATATTCAACACTTTTGGTCAAAAAATCCCTAACCAACTATAAAAACATCAATTATGGTTTGATTTAGGTAATATTAGTTTGCATTCGTTGTCAAGACATCAATAAAAATTTATTGACACTAATACTGACAGAAGTATTATTCATTTAAAAATAGCAAATAGTATCAAATTTTGTTTTGAGTCACTAATTTGGTCAATAGAAAACTGGATTTATTTAAAAATTTTGATATTACGCTAAGCGTATAAACTAACAAAAAAATTTCCTTGGTTTATTAGTTTCCCTAAAACATTACATTATTTATAAAAATCTCATAAATAAATTAATACCTTACGGGGTGTAAGGTCGTAGGTAGATATCAAACGCATCAGTGACCGGAAAAGTTTATTGTTTATAAAGAGTTCAGAGCGCTTTCTTAATATTATAACTTTCGTGAGACACACTAAATATATTATAGAGGCTCATATTCATGAGCAGCAGTTCGCGACCCGCGACCCTCCAGCATGGCTTGAAACTAGTCGAGTTCCACGTCAAATAATTACGTGAGCAAGCCGAAAACATAATAATACCTAATTGCCTAAGAAAGCTTGGATCTTCTATACCATTTATAATTAAATCGGCTGAAGAAATAAAACGCTGATTTAGTTCAAAATATTCAGTTCAGTTCATAGTTCAGTTTTCGATTGACCAAATTAGTAAAATCAAAATTTGATAAGTAGGTACTTATTTATTCATTTCTTGTTTATTGATTAAGCCGGTATACACCAATTACATTAATAAAATTATACATAGAAAACTAAATTAAAGTACATAATATAAAAAAGATATTGAATGAACTAAATGGTATTGAGTTTGGCTTTATATTCCGTACTCTGAATGCTATTGTAACAGCTACGATTGTGGTTGTATAGTGTTGACATTGAATAATTATTAAGTTTTTATTGGTTTGAGATTGGTTTCAAGAGTCTCCAGAGTGTTGTATCCATAGTTCTGTGGTTGTATCCCAACATCCAGTCAGGAATTGGGCTAGATACAGACACGGGTAGTAACCAAACAGACGTTTTTACTTGCTATTTTACAACGAATGATATTCCTGCCAGTATTAGTATTAATAAATGTTAAAATTAAAGTCTTTATAACAAATTAAAACTAAAATCACTTAAATCCAACTATACTCCGTCTATTTAGGTAGTTAACTATTTGTAAACAAACCATAAAAAGAGTTGTTTATAGTTGACATTTCCATGACTCAAAATACTTCATAAGAAAATAAAATTGTTTCCATTTTTACGACAGTTTTCTCTATTAAATGTTATGGTTCTGTTTCTTTTCACTTATTTCTTAGTAAATATTATATATATCTGCTTGAGCATAATAATTTAACAACATTTTTTATTAAATAATATAATATTTCATTACAATAGACACCATAAAGAGCCTAAAATCCCAGGTATCCAAAACCTTTCTTTATGAACGAAGCATTAGATAATGTTGTCAAATTAAAGAGTCCAATTAAGATGTAGCGCGACAATGAAAGTAGCGTGTATTACGTTTAGTTAGTCGGTTAACAGGCACCATTGACAGCTCTCTCATCGTTTGCGCTCGCGTTCCTATTTTGTTGAATTTATCTTGTTTTTGTTTTGTTTTTGTTATTACGTTATTTAAGTTTAGGTTATTCATCGTTTGTAATTAATGTTTTCAAATATATTGATGAAACTTGGCCCAAAGACACATATCCGTACAAGAAAGAAATCCGTACATCAGATTCAGAATAGTTTCTATTTAAACATGATAATGAAATAGACCCATAGGCTAGGCTCTTGTACGATTTAGGCATTTGTGCTTGTATGTGTGTGTGTGTGACAAATGAACGATGTTAAAGTGAATTTAGTAAATTAAAACACGAGAAATATTTGAAGTAATAGAAGGTTAAGTATCTCTGTGTCACGTGGTTTTGTTTGTTTACCTTTAGTTAATTACCTAAACAGATGGACTATAGTATTTTTAATTTATTGATGTTGGTTAACTACAAGTTAACCAAAAATGTTCAATATCAGAAACTAGTCACTTTCGTACCAGGGACCTCATGTCTAATTTTATAGGAAACTAATTGTATTATCAACACCCGAGAGGAATACGTCAAGTTACACGTCATCTTTATAGGTACTTGTAAGTACCAACGCAATCACACTATGTTCTAAAGCTAACTAAACGTGGCTGTTGTTGCCAATTTGGAGAAACTGTTAATTTTTTTTGTACCTCGGGAATAAAGCATAGTTTAATAGGAAAAGGCGTGGGCATAGTTTCGGGCGGTAGTGCAGGGTCTGACGGACTCCATGTCGACGGTGACGTTGCAGGCGAGAGCGGCGCGGGCAAGACGGAGGCGGCGCGGGTATGTCTGCAGTGCGCCGTGCTGGCCGGCGCGCCCTGCGCCCCCGCGGCCGCGCCGCTGCAGCGCGCGTGGGAGCACTACCGCGTGCTGCGCGCGTGCGTGTGTGCGTGCGTGTGTAGCGGGCGTGAGCGTGTGTGTGTCCCCAGAGCGGCTGCGGCTGCAGCGCGCGTGGGAGCACTACCGCGTGCTGCGCGCGTGCGTGTGTGCGTGCGTGTGTAGCGGGCGTGAGCGTGTGTGTGTCCCCAGAGCGGCTGCGGCTGCAGCGCGCGTGGGAGCACTACCGCGTGCTGCGCGCGTGCGTGTGTGCGTGCGTGTGTAGCGGGCGTGAGCGTGTGTGTGTCCCCAGAGCGGCTGCGGCTGCAGCGCGCGTGGGAGCACTACCGCGTGCTGCGCGCGTGCGTGTGTGCGTGCGTGTGTAGCGGGCGTGAGCGTGTGTGTGTCCCCAGAGCGGCTGCGGCTGCAGCGCGCGTGGGAGCACTACCGCGTGCTGCGCGCGTGCGTGTGTGCGTGCGTGTGTAGCGGGCGTGAGCGTGTGTGTGTCCCCAGAGCGGCTGCGGCTGCAGCGCGCGTGGGAGCACTACCGCGTGCTGCGCGCGTGCGTGTGTGCGTGCGTGTGTAGCGGGCGTGAGCGTGTGTGTGTCCCCAGAGCGGCTGCGGCTGCAGCGCGCGTGGGAGCACTACCGCGTGCTGCGCGCGTGCGTGTGTGCGTGCGTGTGTAGCGGGCGTGAGCGTGTGTGTGTCCCCAGAGCGGCTGCGGCTGCAGCGCGCGTGGGAGCACTACCGCGTGCTGCGCGCGTGCGTGTGTGCGTGCGTGTGTAGCGGGCGTGAGCGTGTGTGTGTCCCCAGAGCGGCTGCGGCTGCAGCGCGCGTGGGAGCACTACCGCGTGCTGCGCGCGTGCGTGTGTGCGTGCGTGTGTAGCGGGCGTGAGCGTGTGTGTGTCCCCAGAGCGGCTGCGGCTGCAGCGCGCGTGGGAGCACTACCGCGTGCTGCGCGCGTGCGTGTGTGCGTGCGTGTGTAGCGGGCGTGAGCGTGTGTGTGTCCCCAGAGCGGCTGCGGCTGCAGCGCGCGTGGGAGCACTACCGCGTGCTGCGCGCGTGCGTGTGTGCGTGCGTGTGTAGCGGGCGTGAGCGTGTGTGTGTCCCCAGAGCGGCTGCGGCTGCAGCGCGCGTGGGAGCACTACCGCGTGCTGCGCGCGTGCGTGTGTGCGTGCGTGTGTAGCGGGCGTGAGCGTGTGTGTGTCCCCAGAGCGGCTGCGGCTGCAGCGCGCGTGGGAGCACTACCGCGTGCTGCGCGCGTGCGTGTGTGCGTGCGTGTGTAGCGGGCGTGAGCGTGTGTGTGTCCCCAGAGCGGCTGCGGCTGCAGCGCGCGTGGGAGCACTACCGCGTGCTGCGCGCGTGCGTGTGTGCGTGCGTGTGTAGCGGGCGTGAGCGTGTGTGTGTCCCCAGAGCGGCTGCGGCTGCAGCGCGCGTGGGAGCACTACCGCGTGCTGCGCGCGTGCGTGTGTGCGTGCGTGTGTAGCGGGCGTGAGCGTGTGTGTGTCCCCAGAGCGGCTGCGGCTGCAGCGCGCGTGGGAGCACTACCGCGTGCTGCGCGCGTGCGTGTGTGCGTGCGTGTGTAGCGGGCGTGAGCGTGTGTGTGTCCCCAGAGCGGCTGCGGCTGCAGCGCGCGTGGGAGCACTACCGCGTGCTGCGCGCGTGCGTGTGTGCGTGCGTGTGTAGCGGGCGTGAGCGTGTGTGTGTCCCCAGAGCGGCTGCGGCTGCAGCGCGCGTGGGAGCACTACCGCGTGCTGCGCGCGTGCGTGTGTGCGTGCGTGTGTAGCGGGCGTGAGCGTGTGTGTGTCCCCAGAGCGGCTGCGGCTGCAGCGCGCGTGGGAGCACTACCGCGTGCTGCGCGCGTGCGTGTGTGCGTGCGTGTGTAGCGGGCGTGAGCGTGTGTGTGTCCCCAGAGCGGCTGCGGCTGCAGCGCGCGTGGGAGCACTACCGCGTGCTGCGCGCGTGCGTGTGTGCGTGCGTGTGTAGCGGGCGTGAGCGTGTGTGTGTCCCCAGAGCGGCTGCGGCTGCAGCGCGCGTGGGAGCACTACCGCGTGCTGCGCGCGTGCGTGTGTGCGTGCGTGTGTAGCGGGCGTGAGCGTGTGTGTGTCCCCAGAGCGGCTGCGGCTGCAGCGCGCGTGGGAGCACTACCGCGTGCTGCGCGGCGCGCCGGCGGAGGCCGCGCCCGCGTCCCCGCCCACGCCCCCGGCTGCGCCCCCGGCCGTCGACCAGGATCGCGACCACTTCGCCTTCACCATGGTAACGACCGCCCTTTTATTATACCATATCTATCTAGATCTACTCCATCTGGAGTGTGTAGGTGGATGGGCTAGTCTCGATTCGTTGTGGGGAACATGTCATATTCGGTACTCATAACTCATATTCCATAATTACTAGAATTTTTAACGTATCCATGATGGCGAAAAAGATTTAAATGCGATGAAACCAATCTATTAACAAATTACTACTTTTGGAAGAAAATCCATATTATTAACCAAAGAAAATTGATTTTGATTTGAAATGGCCAGTACTGCAGAACCGGAATTTCATAGGTAAACACCTAAGACTCCTTCTGTTGTTGAAGTCGGTTAAAGAGAAGGTTCTCAGTTTGACCTGTATGTATTTTAGGGATTCTTCCTGTATGTATTTTATGATTCCTCCCCCGCGCGCCCCGCCTCTCTTCCGGGAGCGTCCGGCTGCGTTTACGCGCAGACAGTGAGTTTGTGCGATTAAAACGACTGAAGGGGCCGGAATGAAATTCGGAACAGAGGTAGATTATGGTCTGAAGATACATATAATACATAAGTATTTTACCCCTCGGATTGCGGGCGAAGCCGCTGGCAGAAGCTAGTACTAAATAAAAACGTGTTAACTGTTTACTTTATTTCCGTAATATGTATAAGCGAGATGTAGGAGCACTTACCGAGAGTGTCGGCAGGCGGCGCTGCGCACGCTGGGGCTGGGCGGCGCGGCCGACTCCGTGCTGCGCCTGCTGGCCTTCCTGCTGAAGCTGGGCAACGTGGACTTCGAGCCGCAGCACAACATCGACGGCACCATCGGCACGCGCCTGCAGCAGCGCTACGGTATGGGACGCCCCAGTGGCCGGCGCCCCAGTGGCCGGCGCCCCGGTGGCCGGCGCCCCCGTGGCCGGCGCCCCTGACCGCGGCCGCGTGTTGCAGAGCTAGTGGAGGCGTGCGCGCTGGTGGGCGTGGACGCGGACGCGCTGGGCGCGGCGCTGGGCGCGGCGGAGGAGGACGAGGGCGCGGCGGACGAGGGCGCGGGCGACGCGGGGTCCCCGGGGGGCGCGGCGTGGGCGGGCGCGCGGCGCGACCAGTTGCTGGCCGTGCTGTACTCGCGCCTGTTCACGTGGCTCGTCAACGCCGTCAACGATCACATCAAGGTGCGACACTCCGAACATTATATTTATAGCACACTAGCTTTTATCCGCGGCACAAGTGACATATACCAATACACACAGCGCCATCTATACCAATACTTTTTTTTCCTCGGGAATATCAAAGCTTTCGGAGATAAAAAGTACCCTATTATTTAATCCGGACTTCTAACTTTACGTCTGCAGAAGTTCAAAGTAATCGGTTTAGTAGTTACGGCGTGAAAGCGGAACAAACAAACAAACTCACTTTGCGATGTATAATATTACTAGCTTTTACCCGCGGCTTCCCTCGCGTCACAAAAAGATAAAAAGAAGCCTATGTGACTATCCATCCCTTCAACTACCTTCAGTTAAAAAATCACGTTAAGTACCTCCGTTTTGCCGTTTAAGACAGGCAAAGAAACAAATAGGTGTTCGCTCGCGTGGAATTCGGTTATATCAAGTTTATATCAAGTTTTATATAAAGGCAAGGTTTATATCAAGCCATTGTGCCAGACTATGTCGAATGCTTTCGCTATGTCAAACAAAAGAGCCCCCGTCATCATGCCGCGTTGAAAGCGTTCACTAACAAACTCGACGACAATAGGTTTAGTAGTTACGGCGTGAAAGCAGAACTGCGACTGCACGGTTGGTGCGGTGGCTGGGCAACCGGCTGCCGTGCAACGTGTCGCGGGTTCGATTCCCGCACGGAACAACACTTTGTGTGGTCCACAAAGTGTTGTTTCGGGTCTGGGTGTCATGTGTATGTGAACTTGTATGTTTGTAAACGCACCCACGACACAGGAGAAAATCCTAGTGTGGGGCAACGTTTTTTTTTTTTAAAAAAAGAACAAACAAACAAACTCACTTTCAGATTTATAATATTAGTAAGAATGGCAGACTTACATTAAAGTTGAAGCAAATAGCTGGATTGTTTATTTCAATAAAATACCGGTTTATTGCCATCAAGCTGATGTAATAATGTGTAGCGTACGTGTGTTGCAGCCGGCCGAGGCGGGCAAGCGCTGTTCGCTCGGCATACTGGACGTGTACGGGTTCGAGTCCCTGGCGCGCAACGGGCTGGAGCGCCTGCTCATCAACTACGCGGCCGAGCGCGTGCAGGCGGCCGTGACGGGCGCCACGCTGCGGCGCGAGCAGGCCGAGTACGCGCGCGAGGGCCTGGCCTGGCGCCCGCTGGCCTACGCCGAGCACGAGGCGGGCGCCGCGCTGCTGGACGCGGGGCCCGACAGCGTGCTGGGCGCGCTGCGCGACTGCTCGGCGCGCGGCGCCAGCGACGCGGCCTTCCTGCAGCGCCTGCAGCGCCGCCGCCATCCGCGCCTGCTCGTGCTGCCGCCCGACCGCTTCCAGTCAGTGGCGCTTCTTTTTTCATATTTCATCTTTGATGGCCGACGTTTGACCACTATCTCGCCTGGTGGTAAGCCATAATGCGGTCTACGATGGAACACGTCGACCCGTAAGCAACCTATTCATTCGGGTCTTGAAGACGGGTGTCTTCCCTTCAGAAAATATAGACTCTGACAAAGAATTCTACTCCTTAGCAGAATGCACAAGGAAGCTTGATGCGAAACGCTGCGTGTGGGTGGGACATCTACCATGAATCGATGACGCTTCACCGATTGTCTTGTGGTACGAAGGATTAGGGGGACTCAAGTGATGCAATTCACCCGGACACTCACCGAAGTGTCCGGTAGAAGATAGGCTTTTTTTTTAGGGGGGAAAATCATCGAATGACTGCTCCCGCCTGGGTGAGGCGGGAGGGATTGTCAGACTCTTACTGACTAAAAACCGACCCGTTCCTTCTCCTGTACGTCGAGCCGGAACCCCGGTTACCCGTTAGGTTCTCCGCGACTCCGGCAGCGGCCCTATTGGGCCCCATCTGTGGTGGTCTGATGGCTCTTTGAGGCGCGCGCGGAATGCGACGCGCCGTCCGCTCGGGTCTGTTTCTGGTCGGACGGGGAGCCACCCATGCTCTATGTCCTCCGGCCCGCGCTTACGGTGGCCGGAGATCGTCGCGCGATCCCCGATGCCCGGTGTGTCCTTCGCGATGGCTGGGTTGCGAGGAGGCAGCGCTTCGCTGCCTCACGCGTCCCGCCTCCTCCTTACCTAGCATGACTGCTTCGCAAAAGGCATCCCAGTCCCCCTCGCTCCGCATCATGGCCCGCACTAGGCCCGGACGCGAGAGGTCCCCATCGCCGATCACTTCCCTGAGGGCACGGCGGTCCTCAGCTCACGCAGGGCATTCTCCCACTGTGAGTTCCACTGTGTCCTCAGGGCGATCCTCGCAGTGATGACACCCGGGCGTTTCCTCCCGCCCCATGAGACACAGGTACCTCCCGAAACTTCCATGTCCGGTAAGGGCCTGCGTCAGGCGGTAGGTGAGGACGCCGTAGCGTCTCTCAAGCCACTCCTCAAAGAGGGGACTTAGCGCTGCAATGGCAGCGAGCCCA